GACTGAAATAATCACTCTGCGAGCAAATGATGCAAGCTTTTATAATTATTTCGTTGGAAAAAGTGCTGCTTCATGTGATTGACACCTCCTTACAAGATTCGGAGTGTTGCGCAAGTTGCTCCTTCAGAGTGATGTCAGTCTTTTCATCCAGATAAAATTGAGACTTGTAACCAAGGCGTATCCAGTCAACAGTTTGTTGGATACGGTACTTTTCACACCATTGATCGTTTTTTGCTGGTCTCGCTGTATCGTTGAAACGTTATCACTATTTATCACAATTTAAAATTCAAGTAACTTTTTATGAACAGTCCTTGGCAGAAAACAAAATAAATCACAAGTAATAATTGCAACGTGTCATTAAAATGAACCAAAATGTATAGCAAAATGGTTGTGACAAGCCACGTAGCTTAAAAAAGCTCACGAGCGCAGTAAAATATACACCGGGGAGTCTGAATTCTAGTTTCAAAAAACTTGATAATTTAGGTTGTCACAATAAAAATTCATAACAAATGTATAGTTTATTTCTAAAATTTCAAACGCGCGAACCATCGGGTTCGTTTCTCGTAAGTCCCAATAACTTTTCGGGTCCAGAAAGCCGTTTATTTTTGTGTGTGTTTCTATTCAAGATCAATGCTTCAATAATTTTGAAAATTATGGAATGAAACTACCAGTTAACAAAACGAAACTGACTGGTTTGTGAGTTAGGATCTGTGTTACTATTCAACAGGTTTTAATTTTAAAATTTTCTTTCGAGCGCGAAAAGTTAAGTTACCGGGCCTTTCAAGAAACGTGCTCGTAGTCTGTAATTAACATTTTGTATACAGATCGATCCGACATGTCCGGGATTAAAAACTGAATGCACATTATGTCAACATATCATGTTAAATAGTATTATTTTTCTTAAAAGAAAGGAAAAGGTATTACATTGTATTTTCCAAGTTTCAATTAAAACCCTCTATTTCACTGATTATTATTACTCGGGTGTTGTTCTTCTTAGAAATTAATGCTTTTTCCGATTTATATTTAGAAAAAATATGATTAAATGCAGACTTAAGTTCAGAGTCAATAGGAAGTTCACTCATTTTCTCTCACTCATCTCTTTCCGTTTTTCTATCAAAATGGAATAGACATCAAGAGGCTTAACTATGTCCTCGTACAGTGATGCCATTTCTTTCTTGCTTAGCTTCTTGGCTGCATCTGTGAATCGAGGATCTCGCTGTAGATTTTCGGGACTTTTAGTGTTCATTTCATTGATAATAGTGCATGGTGCGCTTCTAAGCCGTACACGCGACCGCTCTTCTGTTGGGATGTGGCATCTATTTTCTCTTTCACTGAAGCGACGTCCCTCATGCACCTCAATGAATGGTCTCTTTTTCTTCTCTCTGTCGTGAATAGCAGATGGGTTAGGCTTTATGATCTCAAATAACCTCATGTTACATTGCCTTTCTATTTCAGCAAAAACTTCTGACCAACTTTGAAAATCTTCCAACTGAATTGTTATACTCATGACTGCAATAATCACTCTGCGACCAACTTTTGAGCAATGATTTTATTGGAAAAAATGCTTTTGCATGTGATTTACTACTCCTTATAAGATTCGGAATGTTGCGTAACTTGCTCCTTACTGATATCCGTCCTGCTATTTCTAGATCAAATTGATACTTGTAACCAAGGCGTTGTCAGTCAGCAATTTATTGGATGCGGCACTTTAGGCTGCGACCAATATTGAGCAATGATTTTGTTGGAAAAAATGCTCTTGCATGTGATCTACAACTCCTTAGAAGATTCGAAATGTTGCGTAATTTGCTCCTCATTGATATCCGTCCTGCTATTTCTAGATCAAATTGACACTTGTAACCAAGGCGTTGTCAGTCAACAATTTATTGGATGCGGCACTTCTCACACCAACGGTTTCAATGACATTTAGAACAAAACAGCAAGACCTCGACTATAAAGCAATAGGTTCAGTGGCCGGACCTGTAAAACATTCCCAGTTATTTAAGGCTCTTTACTCAATTTTGCGCTTTTATCATTTATTCCTGCACACTTTTATTAGTATCTTCAAGGCCTTTCATTTTTACTTAAGATCAACCTCGTGCCCCTGGGCGTTTCCTTTAGAAAATAGGAAGCCTGATGTGAGGCTGGTGAAATGTAGGAAACGGTGCTTCTTTAAGTCACATGACCAGGCACACCCATCATTGCGCTAAATGTACTATTGCCCCTGAAGGGATTTCGCCCAGAGGGCAAAAGCGCGAGGAGGCATCCTAGTAGCTCGCGCTTATTATAGATTGAAATATACTTACAGTTGAAATGTACAGTCTGTCATCATCATCAGGGTTTATATTCACTATAAAACAGCTAGGGTAACACTACATTTAAAAGGAGGCTGACCAACCGATTGTGACAATTATCGGCCTATTTCGGTACTGCCCTGTATTTCGAAGATCATGGCGTCTTTTGTTAACACCGACTTATAAAGAAATTTTGCACACGAAGTCGGTTTTATGAAACAGCATTAATTCGCCCACTCCAAGTTTTTCTTCAACAACTGTGGCAGTGCTCAAAGTAGTAGACTCATGGAAGTTTTCCATTGACTGTGGTCACTCTGTTTGCGTTTTTGTGTAGGGAGAAAAGCGTTTGATCCCAGCAACTTCAGAATTATTTGACCTTGAGATCTGGACGAAGTGATAGGACTTTAAGAGAAATTTATTTTTTTACACCTCTTTTTAGTGTATTAGTCTTTCCGCTTTTTTTTCACCATATACTATAATTGTTTTTATCTTGAAATATTTTATTATCTGCACATAGGTTTATACCAGCTGTTTTTTTTTTATAATCAGCTGATATTTTTTTTGCAGTAAACATAGAGTATATATCATATTAGTTAATAATAATAAACAGCAAAATGGGTGTAAAAATTCGCTTGATATAAAATAGCTCACAAGCACAAGGTCAATGACACCGGGGATTCTGAACTGCATTTTCAAAAATATCAGCCATTTAACTCAAACTGTATCCAGCCAATAGAAGTCCAAATAACTAAATATATCCATTATTTGGCTTACCAGCTTTTCTGGGATTAGCCAGCCTGAGGCACGGGCCTTAACCATGAGGTGCCATCCCTCACCCAATCCCCACAACCTGTACATACACACCACTGTTGTCTACGTCCTCTACTCTTTCTTTGAACAGTGTGAGGGAGTTCTTCACAAGAAACAACCAGTGAGTGCTGGACGGATCCTACAGTTTTGTCCTTATCCCAGGTACTAGAAAGCTGACCATTTGCAGCTGATGTCATTACAAAAGCAACACTCTTCTTCTCTTAAAGGCTAAAGACCTGAAGAAACGGACGAGGTTTGAACCTGATCTGCCCGCAGACTGCGCTTCCAACCGAGCCAGCTGGCGTTGAAATGAAGTTAAATGGCCTTTAGGGAGGTGTGAAGTCGCGAATCGAGCTCAATAAACGGTTACATTATGCTCCCTTAGTTCCGTTAATAGTCCTCCTGGTACTAGTCCGTTGACTATCAACCTTCCGCATGCAACCGTCCTCTTTCTCGAGTGTTAACGCTTATTTCGCATATAATTATCCCACATTAAGTCCCTTGAGACCCGACACTACAGGAGGTATTAGAGACGCTGCCCTCTTCTCGCTATTTACAAACCAGTGCTTACGGATAAGCGATCGATATGTCTTGTCAAACTGGCTGAGCAACAATGAATATGTTTGCCCCGGGGAAGGTACTCCCTTATATGGCTTATACGGGGGTGCCGCTGGACAGGGTATGGTTTTGACCTCTCTATTCTAAACAGGGTATATACTTTTCGCCCTTGTCTGTCCTAAACAGGGTATATAATTTTTTGCCAGTCTGTCCTAATTATAAACAGGACGAAATTTGTTTGTACTCCAAGTATACAAAAGTAATGACTATAACGTTAAATTCGCTCTACTGCAATTGCCAATAAATGGCTTAAAAACAAGACATCGTGCATTTGTCTTTTGTCCTAAACAGGGTAATAAAAATGAGGGTGTTGCCCTGAACAGAGTATGTGTTTTAGAATTTTTTGTCCTAAACAGGGTCAGGGTCTAAAAACCGTCAGCGGCTCACCTATACCCAAATATTGCTCGAGCTCCCCCCCCTTCGGGTATATTTGTGTCTTGGTCAACTTAATACCAGCATTAACAGTGAACTAAAATAGGTCGGAGACAGATCGAGACTGCCTTCAAATACCATCAGGCTATTTGTAACTCTTTGATCATTAAACTGGAACGTGTTTTCAAAATTTATTGTTTCGACGTCCCTTTTAAGCTCGCCTCTTATCAAATTAAAGCAAAATACATCATGTGAGAGAGCCATGCTCTTTAACTTACGCTTTGTCACATGCCTTGTTACTTACTTTTAGGTACAATTAAACTTAGAAAATAATTATTAAATGGGTTGTTGTTGGCAAATAGCGATTGCGACCATACTTTGATACTTATGTTCGCCAAAAAGTTGAACATGAAGGGAGTTTCAACAGGTTAACCCAATACGGGCGCGTAAAACTTGAAAATACATTTTTTTTTTTGTTTTAACGTACGAGCAAAAACCTAGTTTTTGTTGTCTCAAAACGCCAGCGGGTCCCAAATATAAAATTTGATATATACAAAAAAGCATCGATAAATTTAAACTAAACGCAAATGTAGAAAATATATTATTTATCGATTCAGTTAAAACTGTCGTAAATGAAGAGAAACAACAAGGTATTCATCAGAGTTAACACTAAAGTTCACTTAAGACCACGACCTGTCATCTCTTTCCGATTTTCAATCAAAATCGAATACACATCCACAGGCTGAACTATGTCTTGGTACAATAATGCCATTTCCTCCTTACTCAGCTTCCTTGCTGCATCTGTAAATCGAGAATCTCCTCTTAGAATGTCTGTATTATCAGAATTGATCTCGCTGTTTATGGCACATGGGGTGCTTATGCAGCGCCTTCTTGGTTGTACTTCACTGG